TGATTAACAACTGATTATCAACTGATTAACAATATATAAAAAAAAAAAATTATAATTTGTAATTTACATAAGTATGTAATACATTTTATTTTACATAAATATTTTTAAATATTATATTTCCGGCCATTAATGGTACCCTCAATATATTAAAAGTTATTTAAAAAAATATATTATTCAATAATGTTTGTTTTGTCCCAGTTTTGCTTTATAAATAAATGACAATCTTAGTCTATAGCCGTGCTCCAGGCTAACCATTTATTTATTTATTTATTTATGTATTTATAGTTTTATCTACCTATTCTGTGGTTTTACACACGATGCATCGAGATAGATAAACAATATATTGTTTATCTATCTCGATGCACAGATGTTATTTCTCTGGATAATGATAATGTTATCAATTTTTTAAGTTCAAATATAATATTATGTTACAATTTGAGCAATGAACTATAGTCTTACATTTAAATATTTCAACTTAAATATACTAATTATTTCGTTTTGATATGATCTCGATTAACCGAAGTTATTCAATGGCTACCAAAGGAAGAGTTTTAATTGGTAAGTTTTTTATTGTTAATAATGGTAATACCATTGAACAAATTTAATTATTAAAATGCTATTGGAATGTCATTTGAAGAAAAAAATGAAAATCTAAGAGAATTTTTTTTTCATTATTCTGAGGTTCTGTTATCAATTTGTTTCTGCTTCATTCTCGAGTTGTATTCTAAATTTTTCTGATAACTGATAGTTTAAATATAATAATATATTTTGAAATAAAAAATGGTCCATAATTGTATATACTTAAAACTTTTCTGTGTTAATCATTAATTTTTAAATAATTTTTAATTTATCATAGTTAGATCATGCATTCATGATCTATTTTCTGTTATTTTTTTTGTGTCCGATAAAAATATTCTGTTTTGAAACATTAAAAAAAAAAAAAATACGGATATGTTTTAGTTTTATCAAATTATTGTACTGTAGAATGTAGTTAGTATGTATTTATAATAATTCTAACACTGTCCCCTTAGTTTTAAAATAATGTACTTTCTTTCTTTTTTATAAAGAATTTATAATTAATAATTATAATTATATATTTACAGGAGGTGGTACGGGATTTGTTGGAAAATCTCTGAAACAATATCTTAAGGATCACAATTATGATGTTACAATTATATCCAGAAAAACCAATGCAAAGACATCTGATTCCATTATAAGTTGGGTAAGTTAACAAAATTGAAATTAAAAAGTTTTCAAAGGGTTATTGTTTTCTCATATCTTCAAATAGGATCAAATAAAAAAAAATGAAATACCATCTGATACCGTTGCAGTTATTAATGCAGCTGGTGAACCAATTCTTGAACCTTCAAAATTTTGGACTGAAAAATTTAGAAAATCTGTGTGGGACAGTAGAGTTTTGACTAATCAATACCTTATCAATGCGATTAATCAAATGAATCCACCAAAACCAAAATTATTTATATCATTTTCTGGAATTGGTATGTTACTATTTATTTTATAATATAAATGAAAACTAGATTATTAATTTTTCTTCATTTATCATATAATTGTAGTTTTTACTTAAATATTTTTAGAATAGTTATTATGCAAATATATTTTATGAATATTATTTTTATTTTAAGCAATATATCCACCTAATACAGATAAGTCTAAACCCTACTCAGAAAGTTATATTTCTGAAGAATTTGACTATTTATCAAAACTAGTCATTGGGATTGAAAGTAGTGCTCAGCCCAAATCTAGTGACCTACGTTCAGTAATTTTTAGATTAGGTAAGCTAAATAGTATCTACAGTTTTTAATCTACCATATTTTTTTAATTAACAATATTTAATTTTATAGGAGTTGTACTTGGCCGACATGGTGGATTTATAAGTCAACTATATTTATTTTTTCGCTTTGGTTTGGGAATATGTATGGGTACAGGTACACAGTTCTTTCCATGGATACACATTGATGATGTTTGTCGTATGGTATTGTTTTCTATTGAAAATAATGAAGTCAAAGGTGTTGTAAATGGAGTTGCACCAGAAGTAATACATATGCATTTTTTATCACATTCAAAATATGTTAAACTGTATTATGTTTCAGATAATTTCTCATTATTACTTTGCTAAGAGTTTTGTTGAAGTATTTGGTCATAGTTTTGTATTGAAAGTTCCTGAATTTATTTTCAAGATAATATTTGGTACAGAACGAGCAAAAATGATTTTGGAAGGCCAAGCTGTTGAACCCACCAAACTTAAGTCCCTAAATTTTTCTTATAAATTTCCTGATATTAAAACAGCATTGCATAGGGTATCTCAAGAATAGTATGATTTATAAATTATTTTGATATCTTTCAAAAAATTTGCATGTTTCAAATAAACACAGGTAAATAATATTTAAAAATAATCGTAGTTATTTATTTTAAAGTTCATCACAATTATCATAAATCAGTTTTATAAATAGTTTAACTGTAATAACTCATGTCTAAAAGAAAGGTAAACAATATTTGAATTATTTATGAATTTAAAATAAATTAATATTACTATAATATTTATAATTATATTTATAATTTAAATTTCTGAATTCATTTTTGTTCCAAAAAAAAAAAATAAAAAAAGTAATAAAAAAATTTTTTTAAATTAGTTAAATAATTATAAGTAAAAATGTATTATTTATAATACCATCAAATTAGTATATGTATATTTATTACTTATTCAATGTTTTGCTTTTTCTTAAATAGAGATGAAATCATTAGTCTAAACCAAGGGTAGGGAACCTGCACCTTCTTAACATGTAATCTGGGGTTCGGAAAATACATCAATATCGAGACCCATAAAGTATAAATTATATTTTACGTTATTATAGTGATATTTCTGAATTTCTTAATAGCTATATTTATTTCAGGTAAAAATAAAATAATATTTTATCATTAATGACCCTACAATATTTTTTATTTATTTCTATATACTATTTAACATATTAAAACAGGAATATTGTGAATGTCTATAAACAAAAAGCATAAAATTAAAGAGGAAATTAGAGGATTTAGAAGTGAGCGAACTGATACTTTTGCATTTGTCCAAAACACCATGAGACAATCAAAATGTCTCATTTATGACGAAAATTTATGATTAAAAAAAAAAAAAAAAACATTATCTAAAAAGCTCTCTAGAAATCAGTTAATACTTTTATTATAAATGTAATACATTACACCTACCTTATTACCTATCACATATATTAAGTATAGTAATTTATGTATTATTTTTCCTCTATACCATCACATAGTTAATGCAATTAGGATTATGAATGTTTAACTTAAAAGAATTCATAGCATATTCAAACTGGATTTCAATATTCTCAACAAATTACCAGAGCAATAGGTATATTAAAAAAAATATGTCTAAATATTGCGCAAAACTATTATATTTAAATAAACTATATTGCACAATTTTATGAATAGTCTAATATAATTATATGTGATCTTAATTAGGAAATTTAGATGTAAATATAAGGAAAACTAATTGTTTATTATTTACATTTTGTTTTTGTTTTATTGTATCAATGAATAAAAAAAACAACAATAATTATCAGTCAATATTATAATAAATTGATGTTATTTTTAATTTCACAAGCATAATTTATTTATTTTTAAATATAAGTCAAAAATAAAAATGTATAATTTTATAATTGCATGTTAATTTTGTAAAAAGTAATATGTAACTTGGCTTACAATTTTCTTTTTAGACTAGAGCGTTATGATTTAAAAACAATATATTTAGTTTTTTGTTTTATAAAAATAATTACCAACAAGAATTTAAGTACAGTTAATTAATTAATATTTCATAATAATTTAATTTACAATAATACTAGAATTTACATTACTTTTTTAAATATAAGAAAACAATTGTATTTATACTATTTACACAAAAAAAAAAAAAACAATAGTTATTTTAAATTATTTACAAAATAAATTATAACAAATAATATTAGTTAGGTGGTTTAATGTTGTGACTTAATATTCAATCATATTTAATTTTTTTTTTGTTTTAGCTAAGTAGACTAATGGTTCTTATAATGCTTCATCTCCTGTTTGATAGAGTTCAGATTGTCCATTTCTATGTGTTAAAGGTTGTTTTTCTGGTGCGTTAGATGGTCGATTGCGTTTGAAAAATCCACACTAAAAAAAAAAAAAATATTATTATTATTATATTTTCAACTATTTAATTTATTAATTCAATATTTATGTTACAATATATAAATTAAGTTTTTCAATGAAAAGTAACAACTATTTATATCTGTAATAAGTTTTGCATTTGTTAACTAATTTATTTTTATAGATTTTTAATTTTAACAGACTAATAAAAAGATTTTAATTGTTTATTTTATATTAAAATAAAACTTTAAAATTTATAAAAATATTGTTATATTTTGGATTTAAATGTTGATTATTATAAAGTATTTTTGATTAAGCTTGTTACATTATTTTTTAACTGAAAAAATATGAACACAACCTAATCATATTATATGGTTCTGAAATAATCTTAAATAGATTTGTAACATGGTTGTGGATAACCAGATAAATTGATGTAACAATCGTTACAGGTTCTCATAAAAATTTAATTTGTATCAAGTGTCAAAAATTTGTTTTAAGTAGATACATTTCTCATTATAGTGAATCAATAGATATAATTATAATAATAAAATATAAAAATTTTCCTAAATCCTATATTTGCATTGTTTTAATTATTTATTTATAAAATAAAACAATCTATGGACTTTCATTAAGGTATCACGATTTTCCTCATAATACTAGAAAGCATTACTATTAAAGGGTACTTAGTAAGATTCTGACTTAGAGTTAGGGATTTGTGTAGTATAATTTATATCATTGGTGGCCAAACTACGGCCCGTGGGTCAAGTCCGGCCCGTCATCATTGAATATCTGACCCGCGAAAGTATTCTACGTTACAACACTTATTTGCGTAATTGTAATATTTTACATTCACGTAAAAAAAATTGAAAAATACATTTTTTTTTATGGCCCGAGGTAAAAAAAGTTTTGCCACCACTTATGTATATAATGATATAATGGTATAATATAAATTCTGGGACTTCAAAATGGTTTATTCAGAATAACGTAAAATGATCGGTTACAATAACATGGTAACCAATAAAGGATAAAAATAAAAGCTCAACATTCCCTGGGATTTGGTATAAACCTTAAATATTATAAATAATAAAATAATATGTACTCTATAGCAGTTACCTTATAAAGGAGGTACACTAAGAATAATAAAATGGCAGTGCCGGCTACAGCGGCTAAGACAACGATCCACAGAGGGATGATGTCTGGTTTTACAACAACATCTCTAGGAATAGCTTGTGTGAACACTTCGTGGCTTTTGACTTGGGTCAATTTGCTATCGGGCTTGCCGATGTATGGGAGTTTGGTGACTTTGGCCGATATTGTAGAACTCAGTGTTACTGGTCTGTTCAGCGCTACCTGAAAGTAAATAAAAATTGTAAACTTGGGTATCAAAGATAATACAATATATACGAGTACCTAATTATGCATGAACAAATCAGTCATCCTATATTAGTTATAATCTGTAGTGGATTTATGGCAGAGAGGGGGTAGGTTGAAGGGGTCTGGACTCTCCCCAGGTATCGAGTTTAGGCTGTGATTTATTGTTATGTTTTATTAATCGCACGGGATGCTCAGGTTTAAAATACTGTTATATATATATTTTTTTTATGTAAAAATTAAATTTAAGAATACAAGAAATTAAATATACATTCTTATAAGAATTATATTTTAAATAATACTAAAATAATAAAAGGACCCCCCAGGAAAATTTTTATAAAACCCTAATGGTTATAATTTTAGTAATTTTTTTTTACCTTTTTCAGAGTGTCAACCCAAGCCCTGGATCTGAAAGACAGCCAAACTTCCTGGTCCTTGGACAGTGGACCGATTTTACATTTGATTGTGGCGCAACGGGTTGGACCACATTTTTTCATCTGCGTGTCTCTCTTGAACCTAGTGTACAACTTGAATTTTCCGTCCACTTCCTGGTCACGAGGATTGTTATTTTTGTTGTTGTTCGGTTTTCTGTAATTTTGTGGACTGAAGTCTTGTGCCTCGTACACCTCCGTTGATGCGCCTTTGGATATCAGCGAGTTCCAATCGTCCACATTGTTCACCTTGTACAGTTTTCCGTCCACGGTTCTCCACTTTTGCACGGTTTCTGACTCGTCCATTTTTGTCTGCCTGAATCCTTGATTCTGGCGCTCGGTTGCCGAGCTCAAACTGACCGATAAGTCGCTGTCGTCACCTGGTATGTTGCTGATGACGTTCGTCACACCACCAGTGCTCATTTTCTTGATCGCCTCGTGGTAATCCAACAATCCGTCCTCGACATGCGTCGAACTCCCGTTCCGCACGTAGCCATCGTCGTTCGTGCGCCATTGATTCTTCAAGTACGTTTTCGGCGAGCCACCACTACTGTCCCACGTGGTGTTGATCACGTGGCTCCTCTCCGACTCATGGAAACTCGTCGAGTTTTTGCCTCCCTGCAGCCCACCTGTGCCGGTCCTTAGCCAACTTCCACCTTGATTCGCGTTCCAATTTATTCCGGCACTGCCTCGGTTATCTTGCAACAACTTTCCCTCTTGAGATTTCATTTCCGACCGACTACCGTAAATACCGGCGTTATAATCCGTGTTTGATGTTGCTCCCCAACCATTATTACTCGAATATTCCCTGTTGTTGGTGGACGCACGATTATCACCGGTTGACCATTCACGAGAATCAGAGTTCGAATCGAAATTCGACGCGCTTCCAAAACTTCCCGATGATTCTCCATAGACAGAAGTACCTCTCGTGGTGTTACTTACCGATTCTGAGGCAAGATGCGATTCGCTGTTAACGTTTACGGAGGATAATTTACGCGTAGAAGATTCACCACGAAAGTCTAATCCTATACCGACATTTGAATTACCCTCCATGTTTCCAGATGATGTGTGCACCGATGACCCCCTACG